GATCGAATTTTGACCAAATTTTGTATCTCAAAGCTTGTGTTTCATTTTGGCCACATTTGAATATTTTGGGAGCTTCATCACTTCGCCTTATATCATTGTTTGTTATGAGCTGGTTGAAGAAGAAGAAATAAAAATGTTGTTCGTTGTGTAGTATTTGTTCTCTCAGCTGGTTGAATTACTACACATTGATTAGTTTCAAACTGTTGCTAAAAGGCATAAAGAATATACACACTAGTTAGATTTGCAGAAACTGTTCTTTTAGTGTTTCTGAGTGCCAGCTAATATGCAAAATCCTGAGAGAGTATGTTCTATGTGCATTAAACGGCTCGTTTTAGTTTCATTATCTATTTTCGACCTAATACTCCATTATGTTCTGCTGCAATACATCACCTTCTTCACAAGCAAAAACTTCTTCCAAATACTTCCTAAGAGAGTAATGTGTATGACCTTTTCCTTAAGTGATTTATTACATGAGAGGTTCGACTTGACATTTTCTTCATAATAAGTCTACACTTTATGCTCTTGCAGGCAAATGCAAATGAAAGGGGCGTGTTTCCCTCTTATCATACGCTCACACAAATTCAATCCGAGAAGCAAAATAGCCATTATCCCGATTCGGGCGCTCAATTGACTCGAATCGAACAGAGAAAGAAAATGGAAAATGATGAATTTGCAGTTCCCACCTTCGTCCGCTCTGTCCCGAATCAAGAACATCGTGAGTATACAAACCAATTAAGAAAATGTCAAAAATCCGAAAGGCAATTGAATTCAGAAGAGTTGTTGACTCCATCACTAGTCGAAAAGGCTGAATCTTTGAAGAAAAAAACTGATAGTTCTGGCAAATTGAATACTAATAATGGTGTGGAGTACAATCCCGACAACGAAAGGTGCAACCCCTCTGTATTGGATAGGAATATCATGACACTGGATAAAAGAAGTGATTCTACCTCTGTCATGGATTTTCCATGTGAGGATCAGAATATTTTGCACGATATCAGTAATAAAACGGGATTTCAAGACAGGCCATGTAGATCACAGCAGATGAGAGATTTAGACAGAGTTGACAGTTTGTCTGAAAATTCTGTGGTGGATTCAGTTTTCCCACTCGATATAACGCCCGATGATGTGGTAGGAGTAATAGGTCAAAAACATTTCTGGAAAGCAAGAAGAGAAATCGTAAAGTAAGTAATTGCGTTCAATTTTGTTATACCGTTTTTTCTGTTATGCTTTTTAGATCATTCGGAAGAGATTCCACATTTTATTCTAAAGTACAACTTAATATTTGTTATATTTATGATACTTTAGAATGTGGTAATAGAAAATGCATGAAATTGTCTTTTGTTGGAACTCTTCAGATCAAATTTGAGAAACTATGTAATCTGCCTTGCACTTTTTATATTCTTGTTTACAGCCAACAAAGAATTTTTGCCGTTCAAGTATTTGAGTTACATCGACTGATAAAGGTGATCTCTTTTTTTACTTATACACTCTTATCTTATAATCATTGATATCCCGTTTTGCTACTTGTTCCTTTTTTCAATTTCAAGAACCTGAGCTCTGCGGGTTAATAAATTTCTTCCTTCATCAGGTCCAGAGACTGATATCTGCATCACCACAGATTTTGCTCGATGACTCAGCTTATTTCCCCAAACCAATCAAATTAGCTTCTCCTGGTAAAAGAAAAACGCTAAATAATCCCTTCAAAGAAAACCCGCACATACCCAAGCCGAAAGGCGGACCCGAAAAGCCCGTTCAGGAGACGAAATCCGGCTTCGAAAATGCTACCACCGAGAAGAAATCGATTTCTTCTGCTTCCTTTCACAATGGGTTACAGCCTCCGAGCAATTCTGGGCCTTGGGGTTTCAGTCCTCAGTTGCTCGGTAACCAGTGGTTGATTCCTGTGATGTCCCCTTCCGAAGGGCTGGTTTACAAACCATACCCTGGGCCTGGAGTCATGGGCTCAGCCTGCGGCGGATTTGGGCTGCCCGGGATGGGCCATTTTCAGAATCCAGCGGGCCCATTCATTGGCCCACAATTATCTTCTTTTCCTCCGGTGGGCCCACATGGCTATTTCCCGCCATATGGCATGCCGGTTTCATATGGGCCTGGATTCTCAGGCTCGTCTGCCAAACAAACAAGCGGGCCATCCATTCCGAGTCGAATCTCCCGGGACATGCAGAACCAAGATGATGTCAGTAATGTCGAAACACAAGCTAGCATTGTGAGTAGTCCTGTTGAGAATAATATTGAAGGAAAAAATCCTGTGGAGGAGAGAAACGAGCTTCCACTTTTCCCCATGTCCACGAAACCAGGCCCACGGGCTCCCGAGCCCAAGGGTCCGACTCGGGTGATTAAGGTCGTGCCTCATAAAGCCAGGTCTGCAAGCGAATCTGCTGCTAGGATTTTTCGGGCGATACAAGAAGGAAGAGAAAACAAAAATGATCTGTCTTGAGCCCTTTGAAAAAAATCTTGTTGGATTTACTTACTGGCCTTACCCTGCTAAAGTTCTGTAGATGTGGTGTTTGATTGATCCAGTGTGCATGACAGTGATAGTTACTAGGTTTGGTTTCGATTTTACGGTACTTTCTGCATTTGAAATTTTTGTTAGTATTTGTAATTTGTATCTATCTGTTTTTCCTTTTGTTTTTCCAGATAGAATAAAAGTGTAATCAAGTCATAATATAGCTCATACGTGACTGGTAAAGATGGATGGTGTTAAAGCTGTTGACATTGTTTGTTGCTGGATTGTCGTATTTCTTCTTCTCTTTATTTTTTTTTTAATGATAAATTTTAATCTTTTATCGATAATTTTGCTAGTTTTTCTCCCTAATATTCTGTAAAGTGGATCAAAGAAAGTGTGAAGCTCTTGGTTGGACATGGTTTTGGCGTATAAAAAATCTTTTTTCATTTATAGCATTCTCTCGTATTTTTGTAATGGATAGAAAAGGTTGAGACATTGTATAAAGGCTGATTTACCTTCTTGGCTGAATCATCATATAATAATTGATAAAAACTATACCAGTATAAACCATAATAGGTAGGTAAGTATGGGAAATGCTATTGTCCTGTTACGAAATTATTATGTCGGGATTTGTAACTGAAAAAGTCGTGGTCGATTTTTAGTTTTGACTGGTCCGTAACTCTTCAAAAGGTCCCAGGCATGTCACTAGATCTCGGCCATAAAGGTTAAAATAAACTAAAAATTAAAATACCACGTTCAGTCCTGTAAAAATTAAAATACATTCTGAAAGAGTGAACCCAAAAACATTTGGCGGGCAAAAGAACAGCGAGTTTCATCGATCGAACTCAACAGGTCAGTAAGAATCGCGAGCTTCAACTTTGGATACTGCATAATTAAATTGATGATATTCGTTTGTTCTTAAAGCAAATTGCCGTTTTTAGCGGAATTTTGAGCGATCTGTTTTTTTGGTGCCCCATGGAATTTTTCAGCAGCGTTTCTGATTTTTTATTTTCCCACTAATCTTCTGTAAGGAGTGAAGATTTCGAACAAATAAATTGTGCTGCGAATATGGATTTGTAGTTCAATTTTACTGTTGTATAGTGATGTAGTAGATAAAAGAGGTATACATTTGATTGGCGATCCAGCTTAAGTTGTTTGTTAGTAGTTTTTAGGTTTGGTATATTGATTGGTTTAGTATAATACTTCTGGATTTGCTTAATATTGTGTTGTAAGTATGGATCTGTGGTTTAATCCATAGCTGGATGGTGATGTAGCAGATATTGTATATGGATGTTAACTTGCTCCAAACATTTTCATCCCCCTAATTTCTGCATCCGTCAGGGCTGTCTTGCTTTGAATGCAGTTTAGGTACTAAAAGCTTTGATCTAGCTTAGGTTTTAATTACCGAACAAAAGTAAAGTTGTTTGTGTGATGGATCGAATTGGTAATTATTGTAGGTTGGATATTTTTCATCTAGGGACATTGTAGTTTTTCACACCTTCAGTTTGGTTGGTTTTTATATTCGGTTTCTACCCGTTGGAACACATTGTATCATTCCCTTATGTATTTTCTGTTTGAGATAATAGAAATATCTGGTTCATCTATGGCTTCTCTTTCTTTTGCCAATCCGATTTACCATTGCACAATGAAGGAAATACGAACATGATGATGCGGCCAGATGATCCGTACTTGCTGCATAGTTCCGATAATCCTGGCATGGCACTTGTCTCAGCTCCTTTGATCGGCTCGAATTACCAATCGTGGCGGCGAATGATGACGATTGCGTTGGGAGCGAAGGCGAAGCTTGGATTCGTTGATGGCCGCATAAAAAGACCAGCCCTAGATGCACCTGAGTTCGATCAATGGAGGAAGGTCGATTACACGATCTACAGTTGGATCCTCAACTCTCTAAGCAAGGATTTGGTGGATGCGTATTTGTACGAAGATTCGGCGCAAGCTTTATGGGAAGAGATCGAGCAGAGGTTCGGAGAAAGCAACGGTCCACGTTTGTATCGGCTGCAAAAGGAAATCTCTAATACCAGACAGGAAAATGATTCGATTGCAGGTTATTTTACTAAACTTAAACGCCTTTGGGATGAGTATACCAGTTTAGTGCCTTTGCCTACATGTAAATGTGGATCTCTGCAACAAATGGTGAAAATGGAAGAAGATAGGAAGTTATTTCAGTTTCTAATGGGGTTAAATGAGAGCTATGAAGGTGCAGTGAGTCAAATCCTGTTGCAGGATCCTCTGCCTTCACTAAACAAGGCTTATTCAATGGTTCAAAGGGTAGAAAAACAAAGACAATTGCATCAGTTGTTTCCTGAAAATCGTGAACAAAGTGCTATGTTCACTAGAGCTGGTTTTAATGGAAGAGGTGCTGGGAATATTAACAGTTTGAATAGTACATGGCAAGGAGGAAGAGAAATGGGAGCTGGTAGATTAACAAGAGAGGAAAAGGCTAAATTGAAGTGTGAATATTGTCAAGGAAATGGGCATCTTACTCAGTCATGTTTCAAATTACATGACTGCCCTGATTGGTTCAAAACTCTGAAAGACGACAAGGCAAAACTGAGTGGAAAGGTTTCGGTTAATTCACCTAATTTTACAAAACCAGAGAATATGATGAAGGGAACTGGGATAACAGAAGGAAGGAATGAAATGCCACTTCAGGGTATCTCAAATATAATCAAACAAGAAACAACGAAATTTCTTTCATCACGAGGAGGAAGACAAGGCCCTGAAGGAGGTGATAATCAGGCACATTTTGTGGATTATGCGGGTACTCCATTGCAAGGTTTACATTCATTTGCTCTAAGTAGTATTGAACAATCATATGAAGGTTCATGGATATTAAATACTGGTGCTAGTAGACATGAGCAACAATCCAAAATTCTTTACCAAAAATCATAAGATAGAACCTAAATACTGGGATTACGGAGCTCTGTGTGAAATATTTTTTGGCTGATGAATGTTTACCCAAAGTAATCTCTAGTTGAATCTCTTCTGGTAATGTTTATGGTAGTGAATTGGATTTAATTTTGATTGTATGGCCTATTATCTTCGTATGTTCTTACTTTAGCAAATTATTAGTGGAACCGTGACTTGTTCACGAACTTCAGTATGAATCACGATCCAGGTCGTATGGTATTTGACAAA